CTCGTGACTCTCGTCATGCATGCAGCTTACACTGGATATGATAACCATATTGCAGTAGCAGAACATTTAGAATTTTCCGTGTCGCATTGACGTCGTCTGATTAAAACACACATGCTTCTCGCGTTTATTACGCGACAAAATGAGGAAGTATTGCGATCGATCTACCTAAACAAGAGAGAGGGTTATGTCACTTTCAGAGCTCAGTCAGTCGTCGATGAAGTTTACCAGGGGTTCCAAAATCGTGGCATTTCTTCGGCAGAAGACGTGACCGGGAAGATTAGGAAGAAAAGGCACAATCTGTTCTTGAAAGAATACAGTAGCCTACAGAAAGCATTGAAAGTAGGCAAAGGAATACTTGCAACAACCAGCTCTGCCCTCGAAATAAAATTATTAGCGTCTCATTCGAGCAGTCATCTAGAGTTACATAAGAAACAGTCAACGTTGTCTGGAGAATAAAAGCCCGTCACTTATGCCATTCAGCCGAGCGTAGTTTAACTCGAGCTGCAAGCAGGGGACTATTGGTCGATTTTGATGATGTTTTCCATTTTCATGAATTTTGGCAAACAAGTGTTGCTCTGTCCAACACGCTTGCTAGGCAACTTGGACATAATGTCTGACTGGATTTCATCAATGTCAAATTGGGTTCCAGGAGACTGCCCCTGTCAGGCCTGAACCGCTGAAAGGTTTGCTCGCTGAGATGAGACACAGCCATTTCTTCTCTGGCGATTAATTTCCCACAGCATGGAGTGATAGACTCCTCTCGCCGATGAATTCTTCTTTTCTGGAACAAATGCTGTGTACATTGCACGATTGAATCACCTCTAATCACTTGTCAACAATTATTTCGCTGGGAAATTATCACCCATTTGCGGGCATTAACGAAAGGGGCTAAACTAAGCATAGTTTTATGTCCGTGCCGCTAGTTTCCATTCGCTATGTCTAAATGCTGTTAATATAGCGATAAACTGATAGTGAATCGTCGTAATGGAGTGAGTATGAACGATCTCTAATCACCTGTTTTTGGCCAGGTGACGACTATTAGTGTTTACGATTCGGAGATGGGCAGCTGCAAAGAAGCAGCTAGGCACGCATTCACTCCTGGCATGTGACGCTGCAACCAAGATAGCGAACTGCACTAAAAGCTTAGAGGTAAGTGCAAAGAGTACTACTGAAAAACAGCCTCGTCATTTGCAACAATGCATTGTACGATATCCGACAGTTTTGCAGTTAAGTAACGAATGAGTCTACCAAGTCCAAACTCATGGCGTTTTACACCATTTCCCTGCTCACGGTTGCCTATGTGGAAACATTTAAGTGGAATAGAGTTCTTTGGTATTTTAGCACCTGCAGTGACAGGTGCATGTTGTGTCACTCTGTCCGCTACAGCCAGCGTTTATTCAGCATACGAATGATGTTTCAGGAGACAGTACTCTTTTTATGGTTCCAGGTGAACATGATAAGTTGTTAAGTCGCATAAGTATGAAAAATAGCCAGTGGCCAAGATTTAATGGCGGCGCATTGCACCGCCGCTTGACACCTAGATGCCTATGGGGGTCATTAAAGCAGGTAATGGTATTTGAGTGCCTGCAGTGTTATGGGTATCTCGTATCATTTTGTCCTCTACGTTGACCTCGCGCATATCACAACCAAGTTTTAGCACAGCACGTGTTCAAATTCCTTGGAGCAGTGGCATGCGTAAATATCCCCAGGCAACCAGGATCAAGGGGGTCGTATAATCCGCCGTGCAATCTGCTCTTGATAAAATCATTCGCTGTTAACTTATCATGGTTGCAAAGTCCTAAGCAAGAACCCAGCTGAAAGCATAAAATATGAATTTTTTTGACTGACTGAATCCGTCCCGAGTTCTAAGTTTAAGGCGTACAAGGCATGTGCCCATACCACTGCGATAGTTACGGGGAGTATCCCACCGTACTAGAGAACTGCATTTGTAGTACCCCTGTTCTAGAAGAGAGTCCATTGAAAGTGCTCAATTATGAGAGCATTATTTTATTGAGTATCTGAGGTAAGGTCTACGCGAAGATGTTAGACTAAAAGTCCCCTGAAAAAATGATTATAAGATGCAAGGAAAGCAGTGCATCTTCAGGTGAGGCTTAAGCTCCTCTGACCAGAATTTTGCCTTACGCTCGATTGTTAAGAAATCGCGGGAGGTCGCTCACCCGGATCACATGAAATCTGCGGACCTGGAGAAAAGCTAGGATTGGATTCCGCTCAATGAGCTATTAGCGTACACGCAAACATATGGGACCGGTGGTTAGTTGCTGAAAGTCGTTTCAGTCACTACATGATGACATAAGGTATTATGTCATATTCAATCGTGATAACTCGACATGTTCCATTGTTGGCACTGATCTTCGACTAAGGTTTCGTCCTGTACCCTTTCCTCTTCGCGTTGTGTATAAAACAGTTGTGTATAAAATAGTCAGAAACAAATACGGTGACTGGAACATCAGAGCGAGAGATGACGAGTCGAGAAAGACGCTGTTTATAGACGACCTTGTTTTGGTGGCATCATCCTAAATAGCATGCAGCGCTTTCTCGAAAGTAAACGTCCTCGTCCGACGATTCTGGCATGTCTGTGAACGTGTCTAAACCGTAAAGAGTCTTCCGCGTTCTTGTTCTCCTGCCCGTTTGGCCCTGCGAATGAACCGAGAAGCAGTGGGGCAGGTGGGGAAGTTCTCATAAGGAAGCTCAGCGTCCTGTTTGCTTTAACTTTTGATGCAACGTGAAAGAATAGATTGATCGTCGAACTGAAACGTCCAGCCGGGTTCTGCCAGCATGAACTGTTGTGACTGATGCATGGCTGAGTTTAAAGACTAAGAGTTCTGTTTTGAAGCTGATCTTCCCTCCGATTCTCACCTGCGGTCATCAGTCATGGTTATGGAAGATGACTGATAAACTTCAATTCCGGGTCAAGTGGTTAAAATGGGTTTTCTGAGAAATCCGGAACAAATATAAGAGAAAGTCTTGCTCCCCATCTGCTGTTTCTATAGAATGAGAAGCCACAGTTACAATGGTTTTGGCACATAATGCGATTGCATTCTCAAAGGTACGCGAAACAACAAGTACTTAACCATCAAAGAGGCGGAAGACCTCGGAGACGGCGAAGTGGATACCTTGGCTCTAAATTCAGGTAATCTTAAGTCGTAGCTGAAACGCTGACATTGTACCGGAAACTTTGGGACCACAGTCTGATGCGTCTGCCTGTGTAATCCGAAAGGATTCTGAAAGGCCGTCGAAATTAACAGACAGAGATTTTCTCAGTCGGCTGCCATTCCCCGGGTTTTCACAGCGCAGTCGCACTGACCCCATTCTTTTTGCAGTCATTGAAGCTGGCCAAGCACCCTGCTGTTACGCGGTTTCATTCATGGATGCAATATGGCACTTTATTCGGTAGTGCAGAAACAAGATCGAGTATCAGAGGATATGTGTTACTTAGTTAAAAATATTTAGATATTCAGAAATACCAGGCGAAATATAAAATCTGCATAACTCAGTTCAAATCCAACCACAGGCTAAAACCATTTCTGTGTACAACACCTTTGATATCCGTTTCAATTTGAATGATTGGCATGTATAATAACGGGGTAAAATGTTACTTCCTTCATCTTAAGATAGCAAAAGAAGAGTATAAGCCTATGAAAAATTTTCTGTCTTCGAACTGTGCAGGTTCTCATCTGCGACGATGAGATTACAATGGTTCCTCGGAGAATTTCGTTTTGTACTTGACCGCAATTTGATGACCATTTTGCCTGAAGTACTGTTTCTTTTGACTTGTATTTTTGTCTATTGGCAGGTCACGTATGTTATAACATAAAATTTTTGTATTGTGAACATTTTAGAAAGATACAGAAGTCTTGGCACAAACACGGTGAACTACTGAGTAGCGATGAGTTTTGCACGGAGCCATTTTCAAACTTGTCGTATTATTAATGTTGGCGTAATTGCTGTTCGTCCTAAGTGATCATTTGATGTTTTAAGTCAAGCTATCATTGACGCATGCCCCTAAATCACGATCATCAGTGCTGGTTGTGCGGTACAACAGATTGCCATTGGTTATAAGGGAATATAATGCTTCTTTCCACTTGACTTTTTCATATTCTCTCAAAATATGTTGAGTTATTAATCACAAGAATTTATTAATCATTCTGCTTTGGTAAAATTACGAGCTCGAGACAAGTTTCACTTCAATGTGATGCTGTTTCTTTTGTGCTCAGTCTTTGCTTCTCAACGGTATGCACGTTTTGCTGATGTACACTGAACAAGATGAGAGGGAGCTCTTGCTTCTTCCCTTCTGTTTTCTTATTCTTCAGATGACTGAGGTGATTGCAACGTGTTGAGGAATTGTACTGGTTTATGACTACTTTTCTCTTCTTCGTCATCTCCTCAAGATTGATAAAAGATCTACAGTCTATCGCGGAGCAATCTCAGCATTCATCACCGTCCTCTGCCCTTTGCTTTCAACATTTTCACGAATTTCTGAGTGGCTGCCTCCCCCCTCCCGCCGCAGCAGCCACCCCCAATTAAACGCACGAAGTACATCGATGAAACTGTTATATCAGAATCCATGCAATGGCGTGACGATTGAAAAATATAAGGCGTAGGGAGCATACGCCAGTTCTTCTACACTAATGGAATTGTTCCGACTGCAGCAACAGCATCAATCTGTCTGGTGCCAAATGTGATGAACTCATCATTTACAAATCTATCACCATGCCCCTTGAATGTCAATAATAGTGCAGTCACCGGAAGTCAAATTGTCGAAGTTAGATGCCATTTTTTCTCTGACCCTTCCTGGCATGCACAAGTACAGTCACGTGAGATCAGGTGTGCGGTTTCATTTTATGTAAAACGTCTGAAATATCTTCATGCACAACATGATGCTATCAGGGAATATGTCTTAGCCTGTATTCTACGATTTTATACATTACAGTCATGCTGACATGCGACTGCAACACTCAAAGGCGATCAGTGAAACAGTCCTCTAGAATAAGGGTTCTTTCACAGAATGATCTTTTCAGGGACGTGGTTGATTTAACGGTGTGCAATAGAGGATGATAGTTAGCCATCCTAAGACAGACTCCCACAATGACTCTCGTCAACTAGATTTAAATATTTCGGTAATTCTGCCAGAAGGGAATTCTGTTGAAGACCTACAACCACAGCATCGCGGCCCTTCTACGAAACCCCATACAAGTTAAACAGCAGTGTTTCAGCTTGTCCAATCTGATGCAGTCTTCCTCGAGTTTTTCTCTAATGTCTTTGTTTCGTGGTTTCATCCATGGTTTGTTTGTTTATGAACTATTTTGTTACCTGAAAGGCTGCAAGAGAAGCCTTTTTTGTGATATGTTTGTACATTTCATGTATTTTTTTTCTATTTTTTGTTGTTTAAAAATGCAATGCTCCAGTGAACAAATTCAAGCATTAAGCGTTCATTCATTCATTCGAAATATATTGAATTATTTCAGAGTCTGCCTAATCCATTGAAGATATGGCACCACTTTAGTGTAAACGCCAGGTGCGTCGGGTAAACCGCATTGTTCGCCGAAAGACGTAACACCATAAAGAATCCAGCGGTATGTAGTTGTGTCAAGGGCATTCAGTGGGCCACCGCTGTCACGCTAAAAAACAACGTTTAACGCTTTACATGAATTTCTCAGACTCTTCTACAGTACCTTAGATCAAACGACTCAACGCTGCGCAAAACGAAAGTGCCTTAGGTTAAAGCATACACGGAGGGGAGTTTGTGCTCTTCGGTCTGCTAGATTGCTGCTAGACTCCTGCCAGATTTTATTTCAGCTTGTAGTTGACTTTTGCACTATTACGTTTAGATAAAATATATCGTTTTGCATCGCTAAGTTTAATATACACTACGTAGAAAAACGTTTCAAAAAAAAATAAAGCCACTAACTGTATAGGGTGTTGATGGAAGCCTGGATCAGGAGGTTTTATGAGTCTTCAACAGATTTCAACTGGGCCACAAAGAGATCATGTTACCTCAACTTTGCGCGTTATGAGCCAGGCTATTCCTAGCATTAATCTAGCACTTGGCTAGAATCTCACAAATGAATGAACTGTATAATCCCTGTAATTTTGAAACGTTTTTGTCATGGGAGGAGGGTTTTGTCTTTTCAAGCGCTATGGTGATCACCTGAATGTCAGTTCAAGAGAAACAGCTTGAGGAATTGTGAGGGAGCTTGATATGAGCATTACCCATCGTTTTCCTGAATGTAAACCACCAATGAATGAAAAACAAAAAATGCCAACGTTATGTCAGCTCATGGCTAACCATTTAAAGCAAGAGCACATCATTTTTTCCGTACTTATTTCATATGATAAAAATAGAATTTATTCAAGAAATTTGAACTATCAACATTGTGACACGATAAAGCTGATGGGCTAAAGCTGAAACTGATCATCCGTTCGATCTGTGCTACTATCTGGCAGATTACAACTGCTCTTACTTTGACTTTTCACGTTCACTGACTATGCCCTGTATTTGTAAATCGAGGAAGCTGAGTCCTACTCAGGATCGGCGTTCGCTCTCATGTTCCTCAAGTCACTTTCTAGAGATTGAAAGTTCTGAACCAGTTCTCCTTCACGTACCTACTAATTTGACTTTTCTACCTCATCCACCCTCCCCTTCCAGTTGCAACCCTCAACAGACTGTCGCTTTCTAAAACATTTCTACAGTCTCCTAAGAGAAAACTTGTTCTTTAACAAAGGAAAAATCGAAATGACTTTTGTCAATGTAAAACTCCACTTCGTCGTTTCAAAATGGCACACACATGCTGGTTGCTCGTTGAAGAAACCCATCCATTCTGTGGAATTTTTTTTTGCTCAGTAAATATTGTGCCAATACCCATGTGTTCTTCCTTGTCTTGATATCACAACTTAATTTTTGATTAATTTTTTGGCGAAATATTAATTCGTGGTTGCAGTTGAAAAACCGTCAGAACTTCTGGAACCACCTACCGTTTTCCAGAGCTCATTTTCACTCGATCGCGTGTTGGTTCCTGCAACGTCTTCGTTACTGGCAATCACTAAACCGTACTAGCTTGTAAGCAAAAATTATGAGCTCCGCCTTCAAACTGCCGTTCGGTTAAAATTAATCAGTCGTCGATTAAATCCCTCGCCCCCCCC